GTAGTAGATAGTACTTCTGTTTGTAAGTCCTAATTTCTTAATGTCATTTCGTTCTTTGAGATGTACAAGTCCACCTTTTTCTCTTAGATCTTGCTAGGGGTACATAATATTTGTCCATAAAGGGGTAATTAGGAAGGTTATGCCATGTGTTATAATGAGGTGCCAATATGATATGTTTAAGGATTACATTAGTAATTGATAATAAAAATTCTAGACTTTTTTCTGCTGGAATGTAAAAGAATCCTTGGGAGACTCAAAAGGAAAAAGTGTGTGAAATGAGAATTGAACATTAAAATTAAAGTAAAACGACGATGTTTTGCTCCTAATAGCAAAGGCAAAAAAAAATGAAAAATATACGAAAATGGAATGGATCACTGTTATAGCAATAGTAACCTTTACATTAATAGAGCCTCATCAGGAAAAAAAAGAAATAAAAAGAAAGGTGCGTAATGATGGATGGCTTCTCATACGTAAGAATTACTCTATTATTAATAGGTTAGAACCTTTATCAAAACTTTTTTTCAACGCTAATATTACCTTGAAAATTACATTGCCCCTGCACGGGCGATAAACTAGTAATAGGAAAAGGGACAAGAATTATCCAATTGAGGATTCCTATATCCCAAACCAATGGGCTTCAATAGCTTTCTCTGTATTCTCAGAAGGAATGGATCCCACGCACTAATTCTACCAGCGAGCACTACCTTATTAATTTCCAGTTTTTAATTATTTAAACAATCCCAAAAACCTCCCACGCCCTATAAATAGCCCCCTCTCGATCCATTTGAAACCTTCCTTCGTCAGATTATGCTTTGCTCACTGCAGGTATGCCACTCTCCTTTTCTCTCTTTTCAATAATATTTTTTTCTTTTTATTATCTTGGTCATAGTTTTAATTTAGATTTAATGTAGCACTTTTTTTTGATTTCTTGTTAGTTAATTTTTTTTTTAGTTCGATTTATGGATTAATGGTGTTAATTTGGCGTTTCTCTTATTTTTGGCCCAGTTAATCTTTTTTATATGAATTTTGATTAGTTCTTGCTAAATTATTTTTGTTGATAATCTCAATTTTTGTTCGATTTATTATCAACGGTGTTAATTTGATTTTTTTTTTTTCTCTTTTTTGATTTGCAGATAGATTAAATTGTTCAATTCGGACTTGATACGGATCTAGGGTTCCTACAGCGATATATTAACTGGAATTGTAGATTTGGAATTGGATTTTGATTGTAGGTTCCATGAATTTATAATTTTTTCCTCCGTGAATCTTCATGACACAAGCTGTCCTAATGCGTCGAATTAGGGTCCTCCACTCTTTCTCAGTTGTTTTTCTCTACTGGTTCTATGTGTTTTCATGAATTAGCCTTCATATAATCCAAAACCTTATTTCTGTTACACCGAATTCCCCGTTTCTTGCGGACAAATCAGTCCCCCAATTTAATTGTCAGAGCTTAATTACCGTTATCAATCCATTTGTCTTAAATTCTGAGAGGAAGATCTAGCATATATGTCTACAAAGCAACAAACAACTAGTTCAGGTTCCGATGTGGTGGATCAAAGCTATGCCACATTAGATGAGAGGAAGAGGAAAAGGATGATATCAAACCGGGAATCTGCCCGAAGGTCTAGGATGAAGAAGCAACAGCATTTGGACGGGCTGATTGCCCAGACGAGCCAGCTGCAAGAGGAGAACAAGAAGCTGGAGCAGATGATTGATGGTGTCTATCAACTTTATCTGAACTTTGCCTCTGAGAATAGTGTACTGAGGGCTCAAGTGACTGAGCTAACTGATCGACTCCAATCTCTGAACTCTGTCCTTCAGATTGCATCCGAGGTTAGTGGTATGGCATTTGATATCCCCCTTATCCCTGACTCTTTACTTGAGCCGTGGCAACTGCCTTGCCCAATACAACCTATCCCAGTATCTGCTGATATGTTCCAGTATTGATCAATGGTTGAATAAGTCTTTTGATTGTGAGGACTCTTGCTGATGTTTCCTGCTTTCTTTTGATTTTTACTCTGTCGCTTAAGGGTTATGCAATCTTTCTGTAGAGTCTATTAATATCAAAGTGCGTTGTTTAGGATTTTGAGTTCAATAAGTTTGCTTAGATGATAATTGTGTATTGGACTTGTCTACATGTTAATGTTCTACTATTGTCCCGTGATTCTGGTGGTAAAACTATTGTATGTTGATCCATTGATTTCTTGTTGAATAAAAGTTCTGTTTTATGTAACTAAATACCAGTTCTATACGTCAAATTGAAGTGGCAAAATCTCTTACTTTTGGCTTTTAGATGTTAGAACAAATTTTTCCACTACAGTAAAATATTGATGAAGTGGTTTATTTGAGACCTTGTATCTAAAAATACAGTAGGTTGGGCTTCATGTTAATTTTATTTATTTTATTTTTTTAATTTTTAAATCCTTGATGGCTCAGTTCGGTTTGGGCGGTTTGTGCCATATTTTCAACTCAAATCATTTCATGCGGTTTGGAATTTTTTCAAACCAAACCAAGCCATTATATTTTTCGAACCAACCAAACCAAACCATAATTTGCGCGTTGGTTCGGTTTTAATCGGCGGTTTACCTATCGAAATTATAATAATATATTTAAAATAAGTTAACATATAAGTTTAAACCAGAACTAATAATGTTAAATGTTAAATTACATTAATCACCTAGCCACACAAAAAATCAATTTTTTTTATTTAAATCACAACTCACAAGTTTATGATAAGTTCAAAAATAACAAATAAAAGAAAGATCAATGAAAAAGTGACTTGAATGAGAATTTAAGACTTATCAAGATAGAAGAGANTTTTTTTTTATCCAAATCACAACTCATAAGTGTATAATAAGTTCAAAAATAATAAATAATAGTAAGAACAATGAAATAATGACTTGAATGAGAATTTAAGACTTATCAAGATAGAAGAGAGAAAGATGTGATTCATGTAGAAATTAGCAATCTAACAAACAAAAGGCGACTAATGATTTACAGTTGAGAATCGCATTTTGTTCAGCAGTGGCATGCAAGTATCAAATGTTTGAGAAATGAGAGTTTAAGTTAGGGTTTCTGAAGTTGTGAGCGTGATTTGTCGTCGTAGTTTTGTTAAATTATGATTTGGATTGTAGAAAATAAATGTTTTTTTCATATGATTTGGGATTAATTTTAGTTTAGATTAGAAAATGGGTAAAGATGTGTGTTGTGGACTTATAAAACCATCGGCCACAATAATGAACTTAATTTACTTTATATGATTATTTCATTGGGTTAGTTGTAATTTGTATTGTTAAATTAGTATTTTTTTTTTTTTTAAAAAGTGAAAATTTTAAAAATTTTAATTTATTAAAATTTATNCTTTATATGATTATTTCAATTGGTTGGTTGTAATTTATATTGCTAAATTGGTATTTTTTCTAAAAAGCGAAAACTTTAAAACTTGTAAGTTAATAAAGTTAATTTTTTTAATTCGTATTACTGAATTGATATTTTTCTAAAAAGTGAAAACTTTAAAACTTGCAAGTTAATAAAATTATTTTTTTAATTAAAAAACGGTTTGGTTTGGTTTTATGCGATTTTTGAAAATTGAAACCTATACCAAACCATTTTGAAACAGTTTGGTTCGGTTTGAAGGAAAATAAATCGCGGGTCCACGTGGATCCAAACCAACGGTTTCAAACTAACGGTTTCAGTTCGATTTATGGTTTCGCGATTTTTTTGTGCGGCCCTACTTATTGTTGTCTAGTTCTATGTTAGAACACCTGTCTACGCTGGTAGAATGTGATCGGTCTGGCTAAATATAGAAATATGAGAGCCATTTAATCCTACATTCTTCCACCTTCACTACCACTAGCATTACTCTTTAATGAGTAACTCTTGTACTAGGTATGAGTGGGTGGTAAGGAGGTACGCACATGGTACATATATGGCTGTCAATCGATTGGATTTTGATTCGAATTCTATAATCTGTCAACTAAATGGATCGAAATAGATATAGGTTTATCCGATTCGATAACAACCGATCCGATTTGTTAAAAATAGTTGAGTCGGTAAAATATTGTTACGCATGTTATTTATCACTAAAATAAATAAATGAGAAAATAAAGAAATTTAGAATAAAAAAGTTATCAAATTCAAAACATAGAAAATAAGAAAGTCAATCCACGTATACACAATGTTCTAAAAAGCTAATATGTGGCAAAACGTGAAGGTTTTGGATTAGGCGAGTCTAGACGAAGCCCAGTTGTAAAAAAAAGGTAAAAAAATATTTTCTTATTTTAATATTATTTTTAATTTTTAATCAATCTAAAATTTATTTAATAATGCATACCAATTAGAGTACCAAATTTAGTTTTAAGAATTTAACAAAATAAATATATTCGATAAACAAGATATAGCCCCAGTTTAGTGGAGATTAAAATTTATTTTTTTAGTAAATTTTATTTTGATAAAAGTTGATGAAATGTATAGTTAAAATTAATTGTTAATTTTGATTTGAGGATTTTAATCCAAACTAAACAAGGGCATGGTATAATAGTGCTAATTGAAGTATTTGGAAAGTTTTAAATTTTTATTAATTAGTAAAAGATAACAAAAACGATTAATTTAGTAAAATATAAATAATTATTTATATAATAGTACAATACACTAATGTTAAACTAAATGTACAATACACTATAATCAAATCAAAAGTACAATGTACTACAACTAAACCAAATGAATTCTCCTCTATAAATAATTGGATCAACAAATGGGGTAGGCAGCTTTTGTGCGTTTCAATTCAATTAGCTAAAAGTTAAAAAAAAATTATAATTATTAAACTCGTTTAACAATTGATTAAAAAAAAAAAAGTTAATTTCAACATTGATTTTTATTTTCATAATTTCTTTAATTTCGAATCGAATATCCGATAACATATCAAATTGGATATGGATTTAGCAATTAAATATCCGTTGAATTATCGGATCAGATCGAATAATTATTCTTATCGAATTGGATCGGATCCATTTACCGCCCTAACTACATGTCACATTAGGTAATTTGCACCCTACTCGAAAACATGTGAACCTATGTGAATAATTAGGAAAGAATGATGGGATTATCAAAATATCTTGCCACATTGAGCCTATGTTCGTCTAAAACTATTAATTTTTAGGAGTAATAGTAGATTTCATGAAATGTCTGTCCAATTAATAAATGAGAGTAGCTATGAACGTGTAGTTGAAATTAATGTTTTGATTTTCAATGAAAAAAATAAATAAATAACTTTTTAGGAGCATTAGGAAAAAAATTGCAATTCTCTTTTTAGTGTCCTCCAAGTTCTTTTTATAAAATTTCTATAATGCATTTGATCGTGCTCTATATTTATCAAGATTCACACATTCGAATTTAGGCAAGAAAACGTCATGAAACCGAGTTGCCGAAGAGTGTAGTGGGCCTGCATTAGAGAAGTTCTTTGACGTAATGGGCTGGTCGAAGTATTTTCATAGGGAAAGCTTGTGGGGCTCAGGCTGTCAGGTATAAATATGTGCCCATTTCAGTATGGTCCAGTGTCTAGTTTAGTGTACACAGCATCGCACATATACATTACAGAATTTTCCTATTTAAAATAGTGGTAATTACTTAAAATAGTACTTTAAATTTTTAAACTTCCAAAATCAGATTGGAAGTTTAATATTTCCAAAATCAGATATTTTTATTTTAATTAATATTTTTATAAAATATATATTTTTACTAAATATATATACTCAAAACCCTAATTAATTCCCAAATCAACCTTACCTCCCT